TCAGGGGATCAGGAGGGTTGGGGGATCAGGGGGGGGGATCGGGGGCGGAGGGTCAGGAGAGTCAGGGGTGGAGGGATCAGGAGAGTCGGGGGATCAGGGGGGTTGGGGGGGATCGGGGGCGGAGGGGTCAGGGGAGAGGGGTCAGGGTCGGGGGGGGGGATCAGGGGTCAGGGTTGGGGGATCGGGGGAGGAGGGGGGGTCAGGAGAGAGTTGGGGGGGCAGGAGGGTTGGGGGATCGGGGGCAGAGAGGGTCAGGAGAGTTGGGGGATCGGGGGAGGAGGGTTCAAGAGAGTCGGGTTTGCGGGGGGGGGGGTGGGGAGGGGGCAGAGGGGGTTGGGAGTTGGGGAGGGGGTCAGGAGGGGGGTTGGGGGATGGATGGGAGGGGTCAGAGGGTTTATAGGTTGGCGGGCGAGGGGTGCAGAGATTTCATGAGGGGCTCGGGGTGTCAGGGGGTTGAGTGGATGGGCGGGGTCATGGGTTGGGAGGGGTTAGGAAGGATGGGAGGGGAGTTCTTTGCAGTGACATGGGGTGGAGGGGGTCGGTATAGATGACAGGACTGGCGGCCCAGCATTACAGCTCCCCCCTCGGTGTGCACTCCATGTCATCTCACTGCCACCTGGAGACATCCCATAGAGAACAGGATGACAGCACGCTTTTTCCCATGGGCCGGGTCACCGCTGCAATGTACAGCCCCGTGTGTGTGGGACCGGAGAGGGAGGACAGCACTCGGTGCACACAGGCACCCGGCTCTCCATACCTTGGCTGCTCGCGCCATCTCCGCTCCTCTCCTCTTCCGGGTACAGCAAGAAAACCTTCCCCGATCCACACTGACCGCAACACAGAGTTCCGGAGAAAAAGAGAGCCGTACGGCGTCCTCTAGTGGCCAGTCTGGGGAACTGCACAGAATAGGCAGCTGTGGGATGGATAGAAAGGGTGGATGGATGGAAGGGTAGATGGGTGGAAGGACTGATCCTTCCATCCATCCATCCATCAAGCCTTCCATCCTTCCATACATCTTTTCACCTTTCCATCCATCAAGCCTTCCATCCATCCATCCTTCCACCCTTCCATCCATTCATCCATCAATCCTCCCCACCCACCCATCCATCCATCAATCCTCCCACCCATCCATCAATCCTCCCACCCATCCATCAATCCTTCCATCCATCCATCAAGCCTTCCATCCATCCATCCATCAATCCTCCCACCCATCCATCCATCAATCCTTCCATCCATCCATCCATCCATCAAGCCTTCCATCCATCAATCCTCCCACCCATCCATCCATCAATCCTCCCACCCATCCAGCCATCAATCCTTCCATCCATCAAGCCTTCCACCCTTCCACCCTTCCATTCATCTTTCCACCTTTTCATCCATCAATTCTTTCACTTATCTACCCTTCCATCCCTCCATCAATCCTTCCACCCTTCTATCCATTCATCAATCCTTCCACCCATCCATCCATCTACCCTTCCTTCCATGGATTGATGGATGGAAGGGTAGATAGATGGGTGGAAGGATTGATGGTTGATAAAAAGGTGGAAGGATTGATGGAGGGATGGATGGAAGGATTGATCAATGGATGGAAGAGTGGAGGGATGGATGGAAGAGTGGAGGGATGGATGGATGAAGAGTGGAGGGATTGATGGATGGATGGATGAGTGGAGGGATGGATGGATGAAGAGTGAAGGGATGGATGCCAGAACATCAGGAAATCATTATAAAATACATTTTTACCATTGAATAAAAATATTCTAAAGAACAGAATCTTGTGCCGCTGACTGACATCCGGGGGGGAGAGATATTTCTGGGGACAAATCCCTGAAGTCACACAGCAACCTTTTACACACTTCCATAAATGATTTATTATTCAATCTCTTCTGATGGGAATAATCCGTCTCTATCCATCCATCCATCCAGCAGTGGACATCGATTCATAAAGTTGTCTCATTTTGGATGGAGTAATGGAGGGTTATAACCCCTGCCAGGTTTTTTGCCATCTGTGTCCCTATTGGGGAGATTTCTCTTCACTTCCTATCCCATAGACAAAGCAGGGAGTGAGAGAAAATCATTCCAATGTGAAGGAATCCCTGGTTGTCACCAGCACCGGTGTCCCTCTATACCTGTTCTGGGGACAGATCTTCAGAATCTGGTACATTTCCAGGAACAGACCTCCAGAATCTGGGACATTTCCAGGGACAGACCTCAAGAATCTGGGACATTTCCAGGGACAGATCTCCAGAATCTGGGACATTTCCGGGGACGGACCTCAAGAATCTGGGACATTTCCAGGGACGGACCTCCAGAATCTGGGACATTTCCAGGGACGGCCTCCAGAATCTGGGACATTTCTGGGGATGGACCTCCAGAATCTGGGACATCTCCAGGGACGGACCTCCAGAATCTGGGACATTTCCAGGGACAGATTTTCAGAATCTGGGGCATTTCCAGGGACAGATTTTCAGAATCGGGGACATTTCCAAGGACGGACCTCAAGAATCTGGGACATTTCCGGGGAACAGACCTCCACAATCTGGGAATACCTCCAGAATCTGGGACATTTCCAGGGACAGACCTCAAGAATCTGGGACATTTCCAGGGACAGATCTCCAGAATCTGGGACATTTCCAGGGACGGACCTCAAGAATCTGGGACATTTCCAGGGACGGACCTCCAGAATCTGGGACATTTCCAGGGACGGACCTCCAGAATCTGGGACATTTCTGGGGATGGACCTCCAGAATCTGGGACATCTCCAGGGACGGACCTCCAGAATCTGGGACATTTCCAGGGACAGATTTTCAGAATCTGGGGCATTTCCAGGGACAGATTTTCAGAATCGGGGACATTTCCAAGGACGGACCTCAAGAATCTGGGACATTTTCGGGGAACAGACCTCCACAATCTGGGAATACCTCCAGAATCTGGGACATTTCCAGGGACAGATTTTCAGAATCTGGGAAATTTCCAGGGACGGACCTCAAGAATCTGGGACATTTCCGGGGAACAGACCTCCAGAATCTGGGACATTTCCAGGGACAGATCTTCAGAATCTGGGACATTTCCAGGGACAGATCTGCAGAGGCAGAGATTGTCCCTGGAAATGATGGACATCCAGTAATTATGATAGGATAGAGGATGACCAGCCTGCCAATAAGATTCAATCTCAGTCCCCCCCTCCCCCCCATGACCCCCCCCCCCCCATCATTCCTCATGACCCCCCTTGACCCCTCATGACCCCCATCACCCCTCATGACCCCCCATGACCCCCCCCCCATGCACAGTAGGCGGTATATATTGTGTCTGTTCTGCCGTCACGTGTTCCGTATTTCCCGGAAGCAGCTGTGCGATTGTCTGCAGTGACATTGGCGGGAGATCAGACCATGGCGCTGTATTCTGCATATAGAATTCCTCTCCTGGCTGCCAGCACAGAGGAAGGACTATTCACAGCACAATAGCGCATTCACCCCGAGAAGACAGCCCTGTGCTTGTACAGGGAGAGCGTTGTGTGCAGCCTGCAGCCTGTCTCTATAGAGGACAGGGAAGCCCCCCAGACATTCCCAGACCACCAGTCATCCCATCTCATATTCTGGTTTCCCATAGAAATAGTGTGTCATGCATTATTTGGCCAAACGTTTGTGGCCCCCCCCAGCCATCACCCCCAGGTGAGTATACACCCCCCTCCCACATTCATCACCCAGCTCCCAGTCCAGGGCATTCCTCCCCTACAGGGAAATACAAACACATTATTTTTTGTGCCAGAGAACTACAAAGAACCCCCAAATATGACAAGCAGGGGCCCTGAGTAGTCGTCTCCAAACTGTGGGCCTGGGGCCAAATGCGGCCCTTTGCTTGCTTTTATCCAGCCCTTGAGGCCCTTGTTCACATTGCATGCAGTCCAGCAAATTTTTTTTTTGCATCAAAAATGCATTGACAGTAGGTTACATGGTTCCAAAGCACCAGAACGCATCAAAAACGCACCAGGACGCACCAAATGGAAACTCACCTGGAATGCACTTCTATAGTGTGAACCGGCCCCAAGCCCAGGTTCACACCTAAGCATTTTCTGTAGCATTTTGCGTTTTGCAGAAACGCATTACAGTCCATGTAACATGATTTCTTATGGGACGTGTTCACATCTCCGCGTTTTCACCCGGTGCGTTTTTTGGAAAGGGTCGGGGACTTTTTTGAGTGCAAAACGTTGCATATTCTGTATTATAGACTTCAGTGGAAACGTGCAGAAAAGCATGCATTGCAATTCTGATGCATTTTTGATTCGTTTTGTGTTTAAAATCTGCCTAGCAACAATAAAAAAATTAAACAAAACGCATCCAAAACGCGGCAAAAACGCCTCAATCGCAACCTGCATAGGTGTGAACCTTGCCTAGGGGCCGGTTCACGCTATAGAAACGCAGGCTGGATGTGTTTTGGATGCTTTTTTGCATGCGCCTTTATGACGCTTTATGATGCTTTTTTCACGCATTCCAGTTAATTTATTCCCCTTTTCTTCTTCAATTTAAATAGGTACACGTGTGTTCCAGTGCATTTTTGATGCGTTTTACTGTGTTCCAGTAAAGTTCTGTGCAGGAAAAATACAGTCTGTTCTACTTTTTTTATCTGCATCCGGAACTCACTGCAAGCACTGATGTGAATGATTACATTGACCACCATATAAACCTACTTTCTGTGCATTTTGGATGCAGAAAAAAGCAACTGAAACACATGGAGTGTGAATCGGACTTGAGCCCGGGTTCACATATATGCGGTGCGGTATATCGCATGTGATTCGCACAGGAACCGCACTGCATTCCTCTGCAGATCACATCGAACCCACACCAAAAACGTGCAGGACCCTTTTTGGTCCGCACTAGAATCAGATCACATGGGTATTCACATCTCTGCGATCCAATTCTGCACATCGCACCGCGTTTTGCGGACTGCTTTTGGGTGTTGTTAACCACTTGCCGTCTGGCCGCTGTATATAAACAGCCAGACGGTGGCAGTCCAGGGGCGGGTTGCTGTTCATAAACGGCACCCGCCATTTTGGACTGTGGGCGCTCCCTGGGAGCGCGCATCACCGCGATCCGGTGCCCGCTGTGTCCTCCGGCCACAGTGGAACACCGATCGTTGTACGGGACCTCTGTGCGAGATCCCGATCATGTGATCACTTCTGACATCATTGCTTACTACGTGTGAAATCTATGAATGATCACAGAGATCACATGGTACAGGGCTATTCACAACAGCCTTGTACCATGTGACAAGCTGTGACCAATCACAGCTCACACAGTATTTCTCAATGGCTGCAAGAATGGAGCCAGAGAGGAGAAATGATTGCTTTTACAGTCTTTATGGGTGTAAAAGCAATCAGTGTAAAATAAAAATCTTCATCACCCCCCACAAGTAGTACAGTGTCACCATGGTGACAGTGTACTGCTAGGGTGACAGTATGTAAAACAAAAAAACAAAACATAAATTATAAAATAAAAAAATAAAATAAAAATGTAAATACATTTTTTTTAAATTATAATTTTTGGTTATAAACTAATTTGGATTTTTTTTTTTACTAAAAAAGATAACTGAATACATTTTGGCCAAGATTTATGAAGAAATATTATTTATTTGCAAAATTTTATAAGAAAAACACTTTTTTTTTCAAAATTTTTGGACTTTTTCATTTATATAACAAAAAAAAGTCCCAAGTGGTGAATAAATACCACCAAAATAAAGTTTTATCTGTCTCAAAAAAAATGCTAAAAAATTCATATGGGTACAGTGTTGCATGACCGCGCAATTGTCATTCAAAGTGTGGTAGCACTGAAAGCTGAAAATTGGTCTGGACAGGAAGGAAGTGAAAGTGTCCGGACTGGAAGGGGGGAAAGGGTGAAAGTGTCCGGACTGGAAGGGGGGAAAGCGTCCGGACTGGAAGGGGGGGAAAAAGCGTCCGGACTGGAAAGGGGTGAAAGTGTCCGGACTGGAAGGGGGGGAAAGCGTTCCGGAAAGGGGGGGAAAGCGTCCGGACTGGAAGGGGGGGTGAAAGCGTCCGGACTGGAAGGGGGGGGACTGAAAGCGTCCGGACTGGAAGGGGGGTGAAAGCGTCCGGACTGGAAGGGGGGGTGAAAGTGTCCGGACTGGAAGGGGGGGGGGAAGTGTCCGTACTGGAAGGGGGGGGGGGGAAAGTGTCTGTACTGGAAGGGGGTGAAAGCGTCCGGACTGGAAGGGGGTGAAAGCGTCCGAACTGGAAGGGGGGGGGGAAGTGTCCGGACTGGAAGTGGGGTGAAAGTGTCCGGACTGGAAGGGGGGAAAGCGTCCGGACTGGAAGGAGGGGAAAGCGTCCGGACTGGAAGGGGGGAAAAAGCGTCCGGACTGGAAGGGGGGGAAAGCGTCCGGACTGGAAGGGGGGGGAAAGTGTCCGGACTGGAAGGGAGGGAAAGTGTCCGGACTGGAAGGGGGGTGAAAGCGTCCGGACTGGAAGGGGGGGAAAGCGTCCGGACTGGAAGGGGGGGTGAAAGTGTCCGGACTGGAAGGGGGGGGGGGGAAGTGTCTGTACTGGAAGGGGGTGAAAGCGTCCGGACTGGAAGGGGGGTGAAAGTGTCCGGACTGGAAGGAGGGGAAAGTGTCCAGACTGGAAGGGAGGGAAAGTGTCCGGACTGGAAGGGGGGGGAAAGCGTCCGGACTGGAAGGGGGGAAAGCGTCCGGACTGGAAGGGGGGGGGAAAGCATCCGGACTGGAAGGGGGGGAAAGTGTCTGGACTGGAAGGGGGGGGAAAGTGTCCGGACTGGAAGGGCGGGAAAAGTGTCCGGACTGGAAGGGGGGTGAAAGCCCGGACTGGAAGGGGGGGGAAAAAGCGTCCGGACTGGAAGGGGGGGAATGCGTCCGGACTGGAAGGGGGGAAAGTGTCTGGACTGGAAGGGGGGGGAAAGTGTCCGGACTGGAAGGGGGTGAAAGTGTCCGGACTGGAAGGGGGTGAAAGTGTCCGGACTGGAAGGGGGTGAAAGTGTCCGGACTGGAAGGGGGGGAAAGTGTCCGGACTGGAAGGGGGTGAAAGTGTCCGGACTGGAATGGGGGGGAAAGTGTCCGGACTGGAAGGGGGTGAAAGTGTCCAGACTGGAAGGGGGTGAAAGTGTCCGGACAGGAAGGGAGGGGAAAGTGTCCGTACTTGAAGTGGTTAACGTAACATACGCATGAACGGGGTGCGATTCTGATGCAATGTGGAATTCGCACAGAAAACACTGCAAATTCCGCACCGCATCAGTGTGAACCCGGGCTGAGGGTCAGTTCACACCACAAAAAAACGCAGTCTGGATGCGTTTCTGCATGTGTTTTTTATGCTTTATGTGTTCCGGTGCTTTTTTCGCCTCTTTTTTTTCTTTCATCTTAAAGACGTGCTTTCTGGTGCATTTTTGCTGCTTTTAATTGCATTCTGATGCGTTTTTTTTTATGTGTTTTTCTGCATTCAGCACGCTCTTCTTTTTTTTTTTTCTCTACTGTAACTGACCGCACGGGTGTGGACGATGCCATTGGAGCCCATACAACCTACTGTCCATGTGTTTTTGATGCAGAAAACAAAACGCATCTGGACCGCATCTGGTGTGAATCGACCCTAAAACAATCAAATAAAAAACATTGGAACACAAATCCAATATACAGAAAAAAAAACTAATAATGAATTAAATTTAAAAAACATGTTTTGTTTTTTTTTTTCAAAAAACAAATTTCTGCTAAGCAGCTGACGGTGGAAAATTCTATAAATAGAAGACTTCACACAACTTTCTCCCGGGATTCACACAATTCTGCCAATCGCATCCAATCGCAGAAATGTGAGAATCTAGTGGGAAGAAAATGTATAAATAGATGAGTTTTGCAGCAAAAATAACTTCGCCAAACTCACTTGTCTCTCTAGATTCCTGCAACAACAAGAAAAAAAATCTACAAAACATCTACTAAGAGCCCGTTCACACTTGTGTGGCTTGTCATGCGTTTTTGGGGGCCAAAGTCGCATGAAAAGTCACACCCGCTTGTTTCCCAATGAGTATCAGGGGCGGACTGACCATTTGGAAACACTGCCCGAGGGCCCGGGGTCAGTACGGGGCCCCATGAGATGCCCCTGGTACCTTTTTCATAGGCTTTTTTGAGTTTGGGCAAGGACACAGGGGCCCCATGATCCTCTATTGCCCAGGGGCCCCATGAGTTGGATGATTTCTAGCATCAGTAATTTGCGAATTGAAATCGCACCGGAAATCGCATCTAATGAATGTGAATGTCAGTGTCTTCAACTGTGCGATTTGCTGCAGTTTTGTTGGTGCGATTTCTGAAGACTTTTACACTCATGTCACAATGGGACCGACCAGGGGCAACTCATGGGGCCCTGGGGTAATAGGGGATCATGGGGCCCCTGTGTCCTCGTCCACACTCAAACCACACCCAAAAAAGGTACCAGGGACATCTCATGGGGCCCCCTACTGACCCCAGGCCCTCGGGCAGTGCCCGAGTGTCAGGATGGTCAGCTGGCCCCTGTATAGGACCCTCTAAGCAATGCACAGTCCCACTTCCCCTGTTCTGCATGCCAGGTGTCATTTTCGGCAGGGGCGGACTGACCATTTGGGAACTTGGGCACTGCCCGAGGGCCCCGGGTCAGTAGGGGGCCCCATGAGATGTCCCTGGTACCTTTCATAGGCTTTTTTGGGTGTGGTTTGAGTTTGGGTGAGGACACAGGGGCCCCATGATCCCCTATTGCCCGGGGGCCCCATGAGTTGTCAGTCCGCTCCTGATTCTCGGTATCTGTTATCTTATGTCTTCCTGGAAATGATACTTTGTATCTCTTCCTATACATTCTGTACATTTCTCCGCTTCCTATGTCTGCTCATTTTTATATAGTACATTTATAAGTCCTCTTTTAAGCCACTCCCTTTACCAGTTCAGCCGCCATGTCTACCTTTGCCTTGTCGCCCTGTGAACTGTCCTTAGGTTGTCACCTTTGGACCCATCACCATAAAAATTCAGCTTTAGCTCAGGTTAACATATATGCAGTGCGGTACATTGCATGTGACAGGACGCATTCCTGTGCCAATCACATGTGATTTGTGTGCGGTGCGATTGGAGCCGTACATTTTGTATGGCTCTAATCGCACCAAAAACATGCAGGACCCTTTTTTGGGTCCGCACTAGAATCGGATCGCATGGGTACTCACACCTATGCGATCCAATTCTGCACACATCGCACCGTGTTTTGCAGACCGATTTCGAGGTGTTGTTAACATACACACCCGCAGCAGTTCGCATGAACGGGGTGCGATTCTGATGCGGTGTGGAATTCACACAGAAAACGCTGCAAATTCTGCACCACATCAGTGTGAACCCGGGCTAACGCAGGCCATAGATGGGGAGAAAACCAGCCAATTTTTCTTTAAAAAAAAATGAAAAATCGGTCGTTCAAGCAGCCAACGTTACCAGGAATGGTGAAAAAAAATCGGCCGATTTTCATCCCATCTACAGCCGGCAAAAAGTGTCTCTGCAGAGAGCTCTGCTATTTCTTTGACATTTATAGCGGTTGCAACAATGTATCTATTTGTATCCATTTCGGATACAGATGTTTTTATTCTGAAACAAATAAATAGATTGTTGCAGCTGCTATAAATGTCAAAGAAATAGCGGAGCTCTCTGCAGAGACACTTTTTGCCGGACTGGAATTCTTCTTCATCCTCTTCTTCTTCCTCTTCTTCTTCTTCATCTTCTTCATCCTCTTCCTCTTCTTCTTCTTCATCTTCTTCTTCCTCTTTCTTCTTCATCCTCTTCTTCTTCATCCTCTTCTTCATCCTCTTCTTATTCCTCTTCCTCTTCATCCTCTTCTTCTTCTTCTTCATCCTCTTCTTCATCCTCTTCTTCCTCTTCTGCTTCTTCTTCATCCTCTTCATCCTTTTATTCCTCCTCCTCTTCTTCTCCTTCATCCTCTTCTTCTTCATCCTCTTCTTCCTCTTCTTCTTCTTCACCCTCTTCTTCTTCATCATCCTCTTCTTCTTCATCATCCTCTTCTTCTTCTTCATCCTCTTCTTCATCCTCTTTTTCTTCATCCTCTTCTTCTTCATCATCCTCTTCTTCTTCTTCATCCTATTCTTCTTCTTCATCCTCTTCTTCTTCATCATCCTCTTATTCATCCTCCTCTTCCTCTTCTTCATCCTCTTCTTCCTCTTCTTCATCCTCTTCTTCCACTTCTACTTCTTCATCCTCTTCTTCTTCTTTTTCTTCTTCTTTTTGTCTTCCTCTTGCAGGTCACGGCTCATGCGCAGATTTTT